CCCCCCCCGTCCGACTGGAGCAGAGCCACATGGAGCAGCCTACAGGCAGGGAGTCTGCAGAGCTGCTGGTTGGGAGCTGCCTAGGTAAGCATCTCCCAGCTAGAGCCTGCCTCTGGCCTCCTGCCCGCTGTCTCTCCCACTGACTATCTGCCCCAGGCCATCATCCAAACTCTCTGTATCCCCTCTCCTCATCTTCTCCAGGTCACAACTCCCTCCTAGACCCTGCACCCTCTCCTACATCCCTCCCCCAGGCCAGAATCCTCTCCTGCACCCATAACCCCTCCTAGACCCTGCACCACAAGCCCCTTCCTCCTCCTTCACCCAAACTCCCTCTCAGGCCCCACACTCCCTCCTGCATCCCAGTCCTCTATCCCAAGCTCCCTTCTATACCCCACTCACTGTCCCAGACCCCACACTGGCTCCACAGAAGTGCAGCCCTTGACCACTTACCAAAATCTTGGAGTGCCCCCCCCCCCATTAAAATTATTGCCCACTCCTGGTCTAAGATTTCTGAAGGTGTCCGCACCTTCATTTGAAATGTTTTAGAGGTCTATAAATGAAAAAAGGTTGAAAGCTACTGCTCTATAGCAATCTTAAACCAATTCAAGATAACTCATTCATGTATTTATTGGGGGTGGGGCAGGTAAAATTATTTTGTTTTAAGGAAAACACAGTCTAGTGCAAATAGTTAGAAAACAACATTCACTGTAGTGGTTCTCTAGAACTTTTGGTACATGCCCCACAAAATGGCCCCTGTCTGTACTAAATTTTTGTGAGATTTAGAGCAGAGACTGAACCTGAGGCATTTTGTGGTGCTGTTACTGCTGGGCTGGGGGACTTGAATGGGGGTGTGAGGGAGTGATGCTGCTGTGAGGGGCAATGGAATTTCTGCTGGAGGTTTTTCACCCTGCCTGGGCAGTGCTCAGCTGTGGGACCCAGAAGCCAGCTGTTGCACCACGCTTTTCACTTGTGGTGTTTTTGTAATCATTTAATCCTGGGGGGATGTTGAAATACGTGGCGCTGTTGTTTAGTTTCCTTCCATTATGCAGCAACCATCGTTGCTGGGATTGTGTGCTGGTTATTTAGGGAATGAATAGAAGATGCTATATTGTCATGTGGACTGGGGAACACTTAGGAAGAGCACTAAGCAGTAGATGCGTGTGCCCTACCAAGGAAAGCCAACAGCTTGACAGCATGCTTGATTCTCTGGGTAAGAGGAAAGAAAGTAAATATAAATAGACCACTGTGATTGTGGATGATCACTCTGAATAGCTGGCTAGGAAACAGTCTAGTAACGGTTTCTCCCTGAGATTGCTGTGCAGGGAAGATTCTTTTAAAAATTAATTCTGACAGAATTGTAGTGATACATTTATTTATCACAAATATCTTATAAAAAGGACAAATTATCCATGCCTTTGCCTCCCCACTGCCAGACTGCTAATACACTGTGCATAAGGGTGCCCCATGACTCATTCAGAAACGGAAGCTAGTGCAGAATTTGGCAACTTGCTTAGCAAGTGGTATGTTTAGAGGGGAACACATGGACACCAGTGTCCGAGATCTACACTGCCTGCTTTGTGGTCTCCAGATATAATGTGAGGTGTTGGTTTTAAGATATAAAGATTGATGTAAATTGGCACCAGCCTGCTTGAAAATTTTCCCTGTCCCTTGCCACTGCTGAGGTCAACAAGGACACATCACCTAGGACTCCCCATGTTACAGAAGAGAGGGAGCAGCTAGCAGAACATTCTCTGACACAATGGAATTCCCTTGACTATGGAATTTGCCCCCTTCCACTTTCTACCAAAGTGCCTTAATTGGCTGACCTTCAAGACACACTGCAAGCCCATCTATCTGCAAAGGTTTGTTATTTGGATCGTGGGTGGTGAAGGATGAGTTACAGTTTGCTGTTTTGAGTAATAATCAAGTTAATTTAGTTTACTGGGTCTACATGCTGATATTCTGCTGAGTGATTATTCCTATTGCATTTGTCAAATTGTCTTGACTTTGTGTGCAGACATTTTCATTGTAAATTTAAATATATAGATAATGTGATTTCATAGTAGGCCTGGTTGAAAGTTTTCCATCTAAATTACTTTTGATAGAAAATTGCTATTTTGTGCAAAAAGTTCAACTTTTCATCAAACAACTGAATATCTGAAAACCAAAATGTTTTCAGTTTTGGACTGAAAAAGTTTGCATTTCAAAATACCTCTACAGTGCCTCATGGGAGTTGTAGTTTGGCTGTCATCCGCCCCCATTTTCCTCTGTAGCCAGATTCCCCAGCCAGACTACATCTCCCATGATCCATCACAGCCTGGATTTCTACCTTGCCCCATGGTGGTATGGCATATGGTGAAACTGTTGCAATAACTGGAAATGTAGCCAAGCTAGGTACCCTTGACCATGGAGAAAAATGGGGTCATGACTGCAAATATACAACTCCCAGGAGGCACTAGGGAGCAATTTCCAATTCAGTCTTTGCATTTGCAGTCTAAAGTTTCCAATTGTTGATTTGTCACCAAAAAAAGTTGAAATTTTCCACAGGGGGAGAAAAATTCCAACCAGGTGTATTTCTTAACTGTGGTGCATGCCAAGACTTTGGAGACTGGGGGTGGTTTGGCTTTCATCTTTTTCTGCCAATAGTCTGTGGTCTCTGTGAGTTACATCATGAATTAAAAGCAATCTGGCTTACTCTGTACCCTGATTTGTATCCTTAGGTGTACCTGACAGCAGGCACTGTGTACGGGTTGGAGGGTCAACTGAATGAATTAGAGGATGCAGCACGTAAAATCAACAGTGTTACAGCAGAATCAGAACTGGCCGATCTGGAGGATCAGGTCGCCACAGCAGCAGCACAGGTTCACCACGCAGAGCTTCAGGTGAAGAAATTCACTCCCGTTATGTTTTGAAGGACAATGCAGTAGTGTGCTGTCATGCTTAACTATTTCACTTATTCGAGCTTATCATCACTGTGACACAGATTCTCTCTGCATCCACATGGCTTAATTAGCTGGACTTCACTTTTTTAGTAATCCAAACATATGCATCCATATAACAGCAGCTGAACAGGGTGTGTTGTGTGGGCCATATTTGATCACAGATAGATATGCAGGAGGAATCCCTTTCTTTCGACCAGAGATATTGGCTCTAATCCTGCTGCATGCACGTCCGGTGGTTTAGGTGGGAGAAAGCTTTCCCTTCTCAAACTGCCATCCTGGCCCCGCCCACACCCCGCCCCGAGAATGCCTGCTGTAGGCATACTGGGGGTGGAGTGTTCCTGCCCCTAGAGCCTGCCCCTCCCAGTGCTCTGGGGCGGCTCACACCATGCCGCCACCTCCCTTTCTGCTGCTGCTGGGGATGAGACAAGGCTTGGGCCAGCTCGACTACCTCCCTTCCCGCTGCTTCAGGGCCAGGGAGACTTGGAGCCACATGGCCTCCTTTCTCCCCACTGCTCCCAGGCTGCGTGTGTGGGGGGGGCAGGGGGAGGGCTTGGGCCGGTTCAGGCCACAGTCGCCTCCCATCCCACTTCTCTGGGGATGCTGGGGCATGCGCGTGCTCTTCCCCGCCCTGTGATGATGGGGGGGGGGCACTGCTCCTCCCCTCCCCATGGTGGAGGCGGAGCTTCAGCAGAGGGGGTGGGACTGGGGGCCTGCTTCCCCCTGCCCCAGCTGCATTGACCACCCAAGTCCTGCTGTTACTTTAGTCTGAAAAACACAGATTCACACCCAAGTTCAGATTCATGCCCAAGTTCCATTGACAGTGTGCCAACATCTTCATAATCACCATAATCATAATGCTAGATTCTATGCAGTACACTAAATCAGCTGGTGTTCATAGACCAGAATGAGAGAACTGTAGCCACACAATGTTCCTGTGCTGGTTTTACCACCTCCATTCTGAACAGATTTCTAAACTGTTTCATAGTACCAACATATACTCGGTGGCACATTTTTATGAGCAAACTTCCATTGACTCCATTCAGCAGCAGTTGCATGAATAAGGACTGAGACCTGAGGATTTGTCCTAACTACTAGATAGCGTTATCTTTGTACTGGCTTGAAATGTTAGTTTGTAGTAAAAATGTAAATGGGAAAAAAGACAGCCAGACAAGGTGTCCAAGGAAATAAGTTTGTACTTCAAAATATTAAACATCATCAATTCTATTTGGAAGTATCTTCCTAACAATATTAGCAACTGAGATGTCATCTGTCATCAGTATGCTCCTGCACATGTTATCTGACTGCAGAAGTCTGATGATTTCTCGTTTCTCTTTCAATTCTATCCCTTTTTGCATAATTTGTTTCCTCTATCTCCATTTCTGCCTACTTTTTTTCCCAAAGTCTTATTTAATTGGCTGTTTGTTTGCTGTGTTAATACCATGTCTTTACTGAGTCATTTTAAAATATAAATTACAGAACATTTAATGTAGAAGATTTCAGTATTGTTACAAAGAAACCACTTTTTTTCTGTGTTCAAAAAAATAAGAACCAATGTGAAATAGTAAATGCATTATAAAATAAAGACAAATTTAATGACACAATTTGAATGAAGTTAGAATTATACAGCTATGAGTCATTGGGCACTGGATACTGTAGCAAATTGTCCATAGTGATAGAGAATGTGAGTACAATGCCACAAGATCATTCATTTACTCCATGTAAAGAGCAATCATCTTTTCTAATATGTGACTGTCGTCTTTGGCACTCAAGACTAAAGAACACAGCAGTTCAATGGCTCAGTTAGATTGTCTTGCAAAATTACTGAAGAAATCAGTTGTATGTTTCTTCATATTTCAGTAATTTTGAAATTTGTTTCTCCTTGTTTTTTTTAATGTATTGTGTTGCTTTAAGATTTCAGATATTGAGAGCAGGATTTCAGCTCTCACTGTTGCTGGCCTGAATGTGGCTCCATGTGTTCGCCTGACAAGAAAACGGGATCAAAAGCAAATGAATCAGGTGCCTACAACATTATGCAATTTTACATGGGGAGGGGAGAAGATTTTACTTTTTTCCTGCATTAAAGCTTAGTAAAACATATGTGTTTTTCACAGATGCAAACAATAGACACCTCAAGACAGCAGAGGAGAAAGCTTCCAGCTCCACCAATAAAAGGTGCCCCCCAAATGCATTCAGCTTATTTTATTTATTACGTTATCTTCTGATTAAACTATAGCGTACATCCTAAAGAGAGCAGCTAAGGGGAATTAAATTACAAAGTGAATACACTGACAATAAACAGTACCCCAGAGCTACATGTACATAACATAAAATACTGATTTGGCCCTTTGGTAGGTGCTTTCACTTCCTCATTTGATTTAATTTGCTGCCATACGTCAATGGGGACAAAAGCAGAAGACTGGCCAAAGCAAATGAGAAATGATGACTGTGTGACCTGAAGAGATCCCCAAAGGGGTATTTTGGAGCCAGTGATGGTTACAGTCAACAGATAGAGCAATCACAACATGTTAGTTAGCAGAGACAGGGCTAGCCCAGTGGGACCCCCCACCACATAACACACAATAAAAAGTGAATAGGGGGCCACCTTGCGCTGCTCAGGGCCTTAAGTAATTGCTTAGCCTGCTTATGCCAAGCACCAGCTCTGCTCGTTAGCAATAGACAAACTCAATTCACAGCATTATTCTGGGATGAAATGATGCATGTGTCAGGAAGGCACCTATGCCATAGACAACAGTTCCCATTTCTTGTTTTAAAAATATTTCTAGTTTCTGGAGAATGCATGCACTTGTTTAGACTTTATTGTAAACACTGGAAAAGCTTACTTAAGGCCTGGCTCCAGCAAAGGACTGTTTAATAAAACATATAAATGTGAGCTCAGTTGAAGCACATTATAAGTGTCTTGCTGAATCCACAGCTAATGGCGTAGGAAGTTTTAGGGATAGGGTTGAATTACCCAGCTAATATACCTTCAGCCCAATGTCATACTTTCTCCCTACCACAAATTCAACTTAAGAAACATATCTGTTGAATTCATCTGTAACTTATGGCTCAATGGCATTATGCAATTATTTAGTGTATACCCATGAAGATGTTTCTGAGCTAGATCTGTCTTTCCTTTCCTGTTTAGTCTGTTTCCTAGTTTTTCACTGCGTACCTTCCAATTTTGTTAACTTTTCAGTGGTGTGAAAATGCCTCTCAGACCACTTCTGGACTCAATTCACCACTGTTAACTTTTCAGTGGTGTGAAAATGCCTCTCTCAGACCACTTCTGGACTCAAATTCACCACTACTTTATTCTAATTTTATGCCATTGTAACTCCACTAATGGAAATGAAGTAATGTGATAGCGAATCAGGTTTTCTCCTAATTTCAAAAACCTCTCTTACAGTATCATAGTCTTCCAGTTTCCATTTAAAGTAAATCTAACTTTCCTCAAAACCAGTTTAAGTCTCTAAAGAGCTAGATTTGCTTTTTCAAGTCTGTTTCTTGGTTCAAGTTATCACGTAAAGAATGTTCCCATTTTCCCCTCCCCAGGTGAAAATATTGATGCTTCTCCAGTTACTACTGTTAGAACATTTAACAGAAACTTTATGCTCCAAGGATCTCTAACACAAAGAACTAAAGAGAGAAAAAGCACTGCCAAGGACTTGATGGTAACATCTGAGAACAAATCTTGTTAAAACTGTAAAGAGCAAGAAATACAGATTTCTCATTTAAAGCTAGATTGTCCCTAGCCCTTACTCGCCGCATACAAGACTAAGGCTCCTTTCAATCTCTTGCTCAGACAGAAGAGCTATTCAAAATGTGCCTCTTGACATGGTGGGTGGGGAAAAGAGGAGGAGGATCAGGGACTGGTCATTTGATACTCCCCATTAACCGCAAATGGGGCAAGGAAGGGCTTAGCTCCACCCTCCCTCTTGCCCATTGTAGTAGCTGGCCCAAGAACCTTCGGGAGAACTAGCTAGACCCGAGGAAGCCAGGAGTGGACAAGGAACTGTACCTCTTTAAGGAGCTCCTCCTAGTGGCTTAGTGTAGTCTGTATCTACCTAGAATGATAGAACACTAGCGCTGGAAGGGGCCTCGAGAGGTCATCGAGTCCAGTCCCCTGCCTTCACAGCAGGACCAAGCACCATCTAGATCAGTGTTTCTCAGCCTTTTTTTTTAAATAAAGTACTCCCCATTACGTACAGTTTTCAGACACACAATTTTTTTCTACCATTGCAACACATTTGTTTAAACAACCAGGCGGGCGATGAAATTTTTGGGTGCAAAAGGTATAAAAATAATAAAACGCTGTAAAACTTAAAACAAAAATTCAGTTTTCTCCAAATTTCAGTTGTGTTGACGTACCCCTCGAGACTTCTCTCGAGTGCCCCCAAGGGTACTTGTACCACTGGTTGAGAAACCCTGATCTAGATCGATGCTTGACATGTATGACACATATAAACTGCAAATTCTCTGGGTACGTTTATAGCAGTGGTCTCCAACCTTTTTAAATGTGAGATCACTTTTTTATTATAGCAGTGGTCTCCAACCTTTTTAAATGCGAGATCACTTTTTTAAATTTAAATGAAATCCAGGATCTACCTCCAACCCAAATACCCTGGCCCCGCCTCCTTTGTGCCCCTTCTCCAAGGCCCCGCCCATGCTTACTCCATCCTCCCTCCCTCCCCCATCCTTCTTCCCTTTCACCAGGCAGGGTCAGAGGGCTGGGTTGTAGGTTCTGGTATTAGGCTAAAGGATTTGGAGTGTGAGAGGGGCTCTGAGCTGAGCCCTGGGGTAGGAGTTGGGGTGCAGAATGGGTTTAGGGTACAGGTTCTCTAAGGAAGTTTGGTTCTGGAGTGTCTCAGGACTAGGGATTTGGGGTGCAAGAGGAGGTTTCTGACTAGGGCAGGGGTTCAAGATGCAGGCCTCAGCTGAACACCACTTCCCTCAGGTGGCTCCTGGGGAGTGGTGCTAAGGCAGGCTCACCCCTGCCCTGGCCCTGCACCACTCCCAAAAGCAGCCAGTAAACTCCCTCCATGTCAAGCCCTGTTGTGCCTCCCTCCATTCTCTGGAGAGAGAATACAGGGGGAAGGAGGAACACCTTGACATCAGCGCCGCCTCCTCTCCCTTCCCTGCCCTGCCCTGCACAGCAAGTGGGAGAGTGGGGGACAGTTCCAAGGAAAAGGGTAGCAGATGCACAGCAGTTGGGGGAGGAGCAGCTGAAGTTCTGGTGTTTGGTAGCCTCTTAGCCAAACCAATCAAGATCACCTGTCAGAGGCTCCAAGATCTACTAGTAGAGCCCGATCTACTCTATATTACAAATATAAACCATTTTTTCAAAATCCTGTAAAAATAGGCAGAATTAATAGACACTCCCCAGCCCAGACATGTGCGGCAGGCACTGACAGGAGCAATGCCACAATATAATAAAGCAGAAGTGACACTCCTCATATCTCACCTTCTTACATGGAAATGTTCAGCATAGGGATTTAATGTGATTGAAGTGGCGCACAGCCCACATACTGGCTCCCTGCACAGGGGTGAAGTTCATCCCTGCGTTAACAAATTGAGATCCTGGCCCCATTGAAGTCAATGAGAGTTTTGCTGTTGTTTTCGGTGGGGCCAGGATTTCATTCACAGAGTTCATATCTAAGGACTGGCAACAGAAGGTTTTGCTCATCTCAACAATCAGGAGAAGACTTAAATAGTGGACTATTCTTTGTGCTGCTTGGGGTGTATTTCACCTAGAATAATTGGTGCATATGATAGCTCACTAGACTGGTAAAAAAAGCCTTGATGGTTCCCTTTCATTGAAAAAGCTTTATTAGCATTCTACTCTATACATGTTTTGTCATTATGAAGTATTTTGTTAATGTTTTCCTTTTCTCTCCATTCTAGGAACCAACCATAGGATCTGCTGTAATGTACTAGACTTACAAAACTACTGCCAATAACACACTGCCTAAGGCTGTACACTAGAGTGCCTTTATTTAACAGCCATTGTATGTCCAGTAGAAAGTGGACCTTGGAGAACCCACAATGCCTCAACAATAGGGCTTTGTTTGGATACCTCACTGAGAAAGCTGTCCAGCCTTGTGGTCTGCTAATGGAAACTCTGCCTTAAAGTTCTCATGAGGCTCCAGAAAGGATACTGAGTTTCATAAGCAAGGCTTCATGTTTTAAGATGCACTTTTCCCCCCATTGATTGTACTAAGTATATTGTCTTTAAAATACAATGTTTTGTATACTTAATTCAACCATAATTGTTGGTCAGTATTTCATGTGAAGAGAAAGGTAAAATAAAAACCTCTGATCCCTGTTTACTGGCAGGTGTGACACTGAGTTTAGTGTTTGTCAGGGGCAGCCCGTGACTATAGGCGGACTTGGCCGCCGCCTAGGGCGCTGCCTTCAATGGGGTACCCGATGACGTCAGTCCATTGACGGCCCTGCAGGTGGGGACACTGTTTGCGCGTTCCACCTGGGGCGCCAGCTGCCGTAGCCCGCCTCAGGCAGCTCCTAGTGTTTGTATATCAGTTCCAACATCATTTTCTGAAAGACCCTCTCTATGCTGATAGAGCAGCTTTGGCTGAATTATTATTCTGTCTCCAGACCTGGGCTCTTTGGATGTTAAAGGAGCAGTTTACATTTGCAATAGGCTGGCACATTCCACCATAGCATACTGTGGTGGGGGACATGCATGTATCATGTCTACAAAAAGATAAATTCTGAATTATTATTTTGGCATCTGGATGCATCTGATAACCAGTGCAAAATCATTACCTTGCACTTCTATGCTTAGAAGCATAATCCGTTTTAGGAAGTGTCCTAAATATGTGTTACGCATAGCAGGCGCATCTCTGAATGAATCATTACCAAATGTTCAAAATTACAAAATTGAAGTAAAACCAATGCTGTGAATGAATACTGTTTGAAGACTGTGCTTCCCGAAGCATGTTTTTAAATAATAAGGGCTGGTAAAAAGGCTCTTATACAGGTGCTAGGAGGGGGAAATAGCACACGAGGGCACCTCACTTCCCCTCCCTTGCGTGAAGCATGGAAGGGCCTTTCAGAACTGCAGTCCCTTTGCTTTGGGGAGCATTGGGATTGCTGTCTCCTGTAAGCTAGAGGAAGCAGAGAGGCAATGGAGCTATGGCACTGACCCACAGAGTAGCCTCCATGCACAGAGAGTGCTCAGCTGGACTAAACAGAAGTGTAGTGGCAGAAATGCTCTTCCTGCACCCCCAAGAGGCATTCCGCTTCCAGAAGCGCCACTAAGAGCAGCACCTCTCTGTACCACTCCCAATGCTGGTCATTACTTAATGGGCAGTTCAGAGCCCTAAGGATCAGTTAGTTTAACTACAGATATCTTGAAATAAATTTAAAAATATGCAGTAATGTAAAAGTGGGGGACATAAAACAGCTTATGCCTGATTCAAAACATTATGGCCAAAATTTTCAAATTTGGGTGCCAAAACTTAGACACCTAGGTTTACATATAGGCTATCTAAAGAAGAGCAGCCTGATTGTCAGAAATGATGAGCATCCACAACTCTCATCGTCTTCCTCTGTAATTCTGCATGCTACTGAAAATTGGGCATACTCTGGAGATAACCGATTGGCAATTTGGGCCTGAATACTGAAGAGATAGGATAGTTTTGATTTGTCATTAGGCTTGGATTCTGCACAAAAAGTAGGAAGCAATTCAGACCTAGTGTTCATTTTCTCCACGCCCATCCAGACCTGTGTAGAGTAGCCAGATAAATGGTTCCCATTTGAACCTTCTTCATAATCTGAAGTCTCCTCACCAGTGCAATTGGAATTGGTGAGGAGAATTGGATCCAATTAGAAGTATAGGAAGTATAGAAGTATAGCCATATTCCCAAGAAGTGAATCTCCCCAATAGTTCTGTTGACATCTGTGGAACAATGGCGAATTAAACCAGTTGAAGATCTAGTCCATGAAGGTCACTCTGGGCCAAATAATGCCTGTGTTATTCTCATGCAGTCCTCATTATCTTCAATTTATTTGCACAAGTATGAGGACAGAACTTGTGTTTTAAGTATACAGTGTGTGTGTGTCTATATAAAATACATATATATGTGTATATACACACACACACCATCTGGTGAAAGATTAAACAGAGTAAGATGCCTAATATATTTTTTCATTATTCAATCTCCATCCTGTAGACTGTTCTCTTATACGTGTGCAATACATTCCCAGATTTTTCTTTATGCAGGTAGTGTGTCATGAAATGTCACTAATAGTGGTTGGTTTACATATTTGTCTAATAAGCTAATACTGTGTGTATAATATCAATTCAGAAACTACTAATTTTAATAGAATAATGGCTTTTGTTCTGTTAGTGTGATTTAAAAAAACCAGACTTGGAGTAGAATGTTTTCTGTAAGAGGCATGAAAAGCAACTACTGTTGTGTTACATTGTTAAGTTGTCTTTGACAAAAATGTGTATTGTGTAGGTATAGCAAAACAAAACAAAAAAAAAACACCCTGCCCTGCTACAAAGTATTTGAATTTTTACAGATTTACTTGTGCCAAATATGTGCAAAAATTTAATTTACTGTTTTAAAAAATCATAAAAACATGTTACAGCACACAAAGAATTATTTTGTCATCAAGTGATTTCAATCTTTAGTGTTAATATTTATATTAGATTAATTTTTATAAATGAAAATATTTTAATGGCTAAAAAGGACTATATAATCTATTTGATTAAGCCTGAGTAAAAGTAAAGCTTGCCTTGTTGTTGTTATCTGCATATTCACCAAGAATTATTGTTAATAGAAATAAGAGTAAAAGCAATTTGTGAAAAAGAATGCCTTTTCAGGGACCTGATTCATAAACAAAAATAAATCTACTGTTGTTTGGATTTCTGTGCACTTCAATCAAGAAAGATGCAGACTGCACTGTCATACATTTGTATAGAATGGTAGGTATTCCACTCTGGCCATGTAGGAACCTGCTGTACACAAATGACCACTTCATTGGTTCTTTCACTGCTATGCAGCTCAGAAAAGGAAGGCAGTATACCAGTGTGTGAAATGCATTAATTTAGCCAGGGAAGACTAGAGAGAGACAGTATGTCTACACTGCAGAGTTTTTCCGGAAAAACTACACTTATGTCCACACTGCAATTGCATTCTTTCAACAGAAAGCTGAAAGAAAGCAGGAGTATTTTTTCGACAGCAGTAAACCTCCTTCTACGAGGAAGAAACCCTTTTTCAAAAAAGCTCTTTTGGAAGAAGGTGTGTGTGGACAGGGAAGAGGGTTTGGGGTTTTTTTCGAAATAAGAGGCCTCTAGGAAAAAGCACAGGTGCCCTTGGTGGCCTCTCCGTCCATAGTAATCACAATTTAAATGTGAGATAGCATCCAATCAATGTAGACGCTATCTTTCAAAAAAGCAGATCACTTTTTCGATCCACTTTTGCAGTGTGGATGTTCTCTTTTGAAAGAAGTTTTTCCAGATCTCCTCCAGAAAAACTTCTTCTGAAAGAAGCCTTAGACATAGTCAGAGAGAGATACTTCCATTTATATAGATTTTAGAGAAGGAAAGAGAGCCCTTTAAGAATGTATTCCATCTTTCTAAACCATGTGCATGTTGTACTAAGTACTGTCCCTGAACAGGCAAAATTCCCATAGTTGTCAGCAGGGATTTAAGAGCTGGGATGGGGAACCTCAGGATTTGGTTCTTTCTAAAGAACCATAGCACCTTTGTTTCCTGTTTCCCTGTTCTACTATGTCCAATGCATATTTCATGCTATGTGGCAATTCAACAGTACACATCTTCCAGCCCGCTGGAAGAGAGGGCATGGCTGCAGTGGTGCTGAGCTCCAGTCAACACTGGCTGCCAGAATGCCTCACTGAGTGCTGATAGCTGGTGCCACTCTGGATTCTTCAGGCTTGGACCAGTGGCTCCCGTTGAGCATCTTGCCTATTGTGTCTGTCCTATGTGGGAGTCTGAAATGCTGGTAAAGTTGGGACCAGTTCTGGTACATTGTTTCCCCTACCCCATTACAAAGTCCCTGAGTAAACTCTTGACTTTCCTCTCAGCCTAGGTACTTTCTGTGCCACTACTGCTAGTGAGCTTACTTTAACAGTCAGCTGATGACCACAGTGAGCTCCCTAGTTAATCCCAGCTGATTTCTGTGTCAGTTCATATACCTGCCTACACTCATGCTGCCAGTGTCTTAGCCTGTAGTGGAAGTTAGGCAATTGGCAACTAAAATAGCATCAGGAACTAGAATGATTCCAAAAGGCTCTTGAGAGGTTATGTTCCTCCAACAGGCAAAAATGTGATAGGATTATCTAGGAACTCTGTTTTTGATTAAGCTAGGCATATGATTCTGGTATAATGCTGACAACCCACTGTATTGCCTAAAACACTCCCATTTTGTTAACTTAGGTGTGATAGAGGCTTCAGTGCTGGTGGTGGTAGAGTGGCTTTTTATTATTTAAACAATAGAGTTGTCTACCACAAATTATCATTTGTCTGAATGACTGATTTTAAAAACTGGAGTCATGTTTAGTTCATAAATTATCCACACAGTCTTTAAAAGGTAACTGTAATAATATGTGATTCATGTCACACTTGATGGCTACGTCTACACTGGCCCCTTCTCCGGAAGAGGCATGCTAATTTCTAACTTTGGAATAGGGAAATCCGCGGGGGATTTAAATATCCCCCGCGGGATTTAAATAAACATGGCCGCCGCTTTTTTTCCGGCTTGGGGAAAAGCCGGAAAAGAGCGTCCAGACTGGCGTGATCCACCGGAATAAAGCCCTATTCCGGAGGATCTCTTATTCCTACTTGCAAGTAGGAATAAGAGATCCTCCGGAATAGGGCTTTATTCCGGTGGATCACGCCAGTCTGGACGCTCTTTTCCGGCTTTTCCCCAAGCCGGAAAAAAAGCGGCGGCCATGTTTATTTAAATCCCGCGGGGGATATTTAAATCCCCCGCGGATTTCCCTATTCCAAAGTTAGAAATTAGCATGCCTCTTCCGGAGAAGGGGCCAGTGTAGATGTAGCCGATGGGAATAATAGTGGATGTACACAGCAAACAGTCTAAAAGCGAGCCACGAGTTGAAATTCCTTGGCACAAACTATGGGTCAAACAACTGAAAAATACAATCACATCGGAAAAAATAATATCCTGCTGCTGGCAGCCCACATTTCTGACTCCGAATTAAGTTCATTGGCTAAATTATTTGCCCTGATTAATTCAAACCCTGCGACTTTGGAAGTTATTCATGAATGACAACTAAAAACATAAGCTTGAGCTATTATCTTTTGAAGTACTCTTCAGGAATTAAGTTTCAATTCTAGTTCATTAGCTAAATAGTAAATGGTCTTTTCTTGATCATGAGCCACAACTTAGAACTGCTTATAATTTGATCTGATGTATTTTTGGTGGCAAGAGTTGCTTATCAAGATTAAATATGTTGTAATTAGCACTGATCATATAATTAAAGTTATATAATTAACCAGTATAGCAATGAATCACATTAAGCAAGTAATAATGGATTATTTATGTAATTCAATAGGAATTATTTTAGGTACAATGCTTGGAGAGTGACTTCAATTTTTTAACTTTCACAAAAAATCCCAAACATGGCAGGGAAAAAAATTGGTTGAAAGAAAAAAAAAAGGGGGGGGAGAAAAAAGAGTCACTGCACCTTTAAATTCCCACACTCCCTGTTCCCCCTGCCAGATGTGGCAGGGGAAGAATGTCCCCGCCAGCTTTCCATCCAAGAAAAACAGAAAATAGCAGACATTTTGCATGTCCGGTATTTTCTGGGTTTTTTTTAACCAGACAGAAGACATGGTTACCAGACTGTCCAGGCGAAAACTGGAAACCCGGCAACCCTATCTTTAAGGCAGGTGCTCAGTCACACACACTTAGGCTACGTCTACACTGCAGGCTTCTTCCGCAAGAACTGTTTTGCGCAAGAGTTCTTGTGCAAAAGGTCTTGTGCAAGAGTGCATCCACACTGCCATGTGCTTTTGCGCAAGAGCATCCATGGCAGTGTGGACGCTCTCTTGCACAAGAAAGCTCTGATGGCCAGTTTAGCCATAGAGGTATCTTGCATAAGAAACCCCTGTTGCCCATCCACACTGCCTTGTGCAAGAGCTCTTGCACAAGAGGGCTTATTCTTCGTGGGGAGAGGAATAACTCTTGCGCAAGAAGCATCTTTTCTGATGCTTTACTGTAAATTTACTTGCGCAAGAACACACATGCAGTGTAGACGCTCTGCAAGTTTTTGCGCAAGAACAAATGTTCTTGCACAAAAAGCCTGCAGTGTAGATGTAGCCCCATAGTAGAACGCTGTAGTGCTGACTTAAGTGAGTCTTCATGATCAGGGAGTCAACAGAATTGCCTGGCACCTGGGAAAGCTGAGGGTAGGGCCTCTGGCAGAAAGGGGCAGAACTGGGAGCAGCCTGCCCTCAGCACCACCAAGAGCTCTCTCTGTCTGTCACCACTGCTGCCCTAAGGCAGTTGCCCCTTTTGCCCCATTCCCCCATCAGCAGGCCTGCTCAGGAGCCGGTGCCTCCTGTCTCCAGAGATGGGGTACAGAGTGGGGGGGGCCACTCTGCAACCAGCACCCTGCCCCAGCTAGCAAGAGGGTCCAGGATCACTGAGCTGCAACAGGATGGAGCGACACTGGAGGGGTGGCACCTGCCACCTCTCAGCTAGGAGGCCTATGAATGTCTCCTGCATGGCAGGACCCCTCCAGGCCCTGCGCAATAGCTCCTTTTGCACTTCCCCCATGAATAGGTCTTCCTGTGGCCTTCTTTTTCTTCTTAAAAAAAGCAAACAAAAGTCTACCTGGTTGTAGAGTACACCTATATCTATTGACTATGGGTAAATACACTGAGATGTTGTCATTCACTGAGCCGTGGTTTATTTTTAACCAGCATTAACAACTCGCTTTGAAATGTGACAGAAGAGTTTGTTGGCAGGCTAACATAGAGCATGTTTCATGGAGAGCTGATTCCAAGCATGAATATCTTTTGGTTCTTGCACAGATGTACCTTCACAGTCACTACAGTGGCATTAGTGTTATGGGAGAGGAGAGTGGAGGGGAGAGAGAGAAGGAAGAATGGTTTGTTTAGAGCAGGAGAGGAAGTTTGTTAACAGCAGAGTTTGCATTCAGCATCACTTTTCAGGTTGGATCTTTCTACCTGAGAGTGCTTCTTTTAAAATTTTACGCAAGAAATAAACCAAAGACATGTAGGCAAAGGCAGAACAAAAAGAATTTTATCGCGTATGTGAAGATGTGGAAAGGGGAGAGAAAATTAAATTCAACTGAGAGTAGGAAGTGAGTTTAGTTACAGCTAAGAGAAGGGAATCACCACCAGCCATCATCTTCTGCATCCAGTGCCTCTTGCTCCTGCAAAGCTTTCACTATCAGCTCCAGGCTGCTGAGGCCAGGCCTCAGGCTCCTATGGCTGCTCCTTAGCTGCCTTTTCCCAAACCGGCCGATAGGTCGGACCCCACGTTCCACATACCAGAACGGATCAATCTCAGGACCTGAAAATCAAAGCATTCAGTCAAGAAGCGCACACTGAGACAAGGAGTGAACACCACTCAGCCTGGGTCCAGCATCTACTGAACAATGCCAGAAGAATATCTAAAAAAAACCATAAAAAACAACAAATAGTTCTGCAGCACCTAGAACATCTACAGTGATACTACACCATCAGAAAAACACAGGAATAACTAACAGTACAACCGTAGGAGTTCTAAACATCAATCTTCTATTGCCTTTAATGGTCATTCTCCATCTATAGGGGTGGTAGGATAAAGAATCAGGTATGGCCAAGATCGTTCCTATCAAAGAATTTCTCCATATTTATGAACCTGCAGTTCTTACTCAGACAAATCTCCCATTGAATTCAGTAAGGGCTCTCTGGTTTTTCTAATAAAAAAATGGCAGGCATGTAATTTTCCATGCAAGTAACCACAATATTTTTGTAGAGATTGTAACCACCTCTGACACATGCTTGCTTTGTGTGTATCTGTCTGTACAAAGACAAGAGTATTCAATTAAATGTCTACTGAAATAAGTTTAAGCCTGATCTTGTACCCTTGTTTAATACTGGCAACAGCCCCTGGGAACTTCAATGGGAGCTTTGTCTTGATTTAGTTATTTCAATGCACAAAGCAAACTATTGACTTGCATGCAAGACCTAGATCTGTACCAGTTTCTACCAAAACTACCTTGGAGGTAGAAAACCCACAGCAGAGGAAGGTTATAGTTGTGGGAGCTAGTTCAACAGGGGATATATTGACCTATGTATCTGAGATGTCTCTGCTTACTGGGCTTTTCTAGCACCGTGACCAATTTTAAAACTGCCCTCCTTCAGCAGAAGTCTTGAAGGGAGGTGGCAATATTAATGTTTGCCCTCCATTTAAGTTAATACCACTCCTCCCATCTTCCTCCTCACCCCCATAGTTTGCTAGCTCACTGTAAGCTCACTGTAGCTATTGGCATCAGCATCGGTGCCTAGTGACTCAGTGCATGTGAAATTCCCTTCACCCACTGGAGCAAAACCCATTTTCTTTTTAAGTCTCTTCCATGTAATGTCTAATTTACATGACAGTGCACTCAACCAATCCTGCCAAATAGGCTGTTATGTACAAGGTCCTCACTAAACGGAATGGGTTCCAAAATTGGCCATTCTAAATCAAATGTGAAAAGCTGGTTGAAAAATTTGATGGGACAGTTTTCCAAGGAAATACTGCTTTGCTGAAATAAAAAAACATTCTTGTGGGAGCTTGTCAACTTCAATGGAAAAATTTTCAAAAACAATTCAAAATGGAGTATGTTTGGATGTTATTTTATTCTAACTAGTTTTGTTGCAGCTTAAATAACTTATACACAATATTACATGTTTTGACATCAGAACATTTCAATGTTAAACTAAATATTGACAAAACATTTCAGAGGCAGCTTTGATGTTTCCAAGTTGCAACATGTCAAACATTCTATTACTTTAAATATTTTGAGATTAACTTTTTATCTGAATTCAGAATAAAAACAAGTTTTGACATATCAGACTTACCTACAGGAGAGAAATTCAATTTTTCACCAGCTCTAATCACATATAAGTGTTTTGCCATGTACCAAAAAATAAATGGCTCATCAGTATAAATGTGATATTTATGGAGACGCTTCACTAGAAAAGCCTTAGTCAAGAGACGTGGCTGAAGAGTACTCTGGTTCCAATGATAAGATTCATAAATCCACTAAGCTGCTGAGTGGATGGAAATTAAAGCTAACTCCTTCAAAGTGCTAACCCTTTGCTAATGAAATTCTGTTTATGGCTCAAACTTTTACATGGCCAATTTGTAAATTGCAGGATTTTTTTAAGATCAGAATTCTGTTCAATTGTTTCAGGAGAGGGGCAAGATTTAATTAGTACAAACATTCAGCAGGGCAAAAAGATAGAAATGTTAGACATAATCATAATGATGGGACAGATACTCCAGAAGTATCATAGGAATGTCAAGACTGAATGTCATTAATTTCATTTCAAGTGCATTCCCTAGTTTACACAGATATCTGAAGGACCTGACATAAGGCTGCAGAATCTGTGCTGGGGCATTTTGCTTCTTTAACAAGAAGAGTGAAAAATTCCTTTCCACAGTGGCCACAACTTGCTCCCTAAATATAAAGGTACTTTTAAAAAACGTGTGGTATAAATAAGATTACACACCTTGGCTACGTCTACACTGGCTGCCTATTACGAAATAGGCATGCTAATGTAGCACTTGGGAAAAGGCAAATGCGCGGGGGATTTAAATATCCCCCGCGGCATTTGCATTTTCATGCCCGCCGCTTTTTTCCGGCTTGGAGATAAGCCGGAGAAAAGCGTCCAGACTGGCGCGATCCTCCGGAATAAAGCCCCATTCCGGAGGATCTCTTATTCCTACTTGAAAGTAGGAATAAGAGATCCTCCGGAAAAGAGCTTATTTTCCGGAGGATCGCGTCCAGACCAGATGGCGCTTTTCTCCGGCTTATCTCCAAGCCGGAAAAAAGCGGCGGTCATGAAAATGAAAATCCCGCGGGGCATATTTAAATCCCCCGCGCATTTGCCTCTTCCCAAGTGCTACATTTGCATCCCTATTCCGTAATAGGGGCCAGTGTAGACGTAGCCCTTATTTTTGGAGTGCTCAATTTGACATCCTAATTTTCAGATAGTGCTGAGCAACTACCTTCTGAACATCAGACCCTTTTAAGTTGTCACAAGTGGGCAAACAAATACTGGGGCTCCCAAAATCTCGTCTTTAAAATGTAGAAAGAGATACTTTGGCAGGACTCCATTCCCATCACTCAACCCCCTTCCCTGCCCACAGAATCCCGTGGCCACACAGCACCCACTGAGGGAATTCTGAATAGGGATGTTAGATATTGATTTAATAACCATGTAACTGCATCAAATCTTAGCAGTTACATGATTATTCGATAGCCCCTGGGGGCGGGACAGGAAGCTTGTGCGCTCTTGGCCCCACTCCCGGGGAGCCCCCTGCCACCACACATGGCTGTGTCTGACATAAACACAGCAGCATGTGATGGCAACAGCCCCTATCTGCAGGGGACCCGAGCTCCCCACAGAAGTTGCGCTGGCATCCCACGGAGAAGCCTACTGCTCCCCAGCACCCCACTCTCCCCCTCCTGCCGCACTGCTGCCCCTGATAGAGGGCAGGGGGAAAAAGGGGGATTGTGAGAAAGCAGCACCGTGGAGCCTATGGGAGGCAGCAAGGGCGGGGGAGGGGGACAAGCAGCTCTGCGGAGCCAGCATGCACTGAGAGCTGGCTCAAAAGCCAGCTCCCCACATGTATCAGCTCCTATCTGCTCTCCGCCTCATTCCCCGATTTGTGCCTCTAATAGAGAAGCAGCAGCACGAGAGGGGTAAACGTCTCCACGGGAGCAGATACGCATGGGCAGCTGGTTTGAAAGCCGCTTCCCAGGTGTACCAGCTCCTGCCTGCCCGCCTCTGTGGCAGCAGCATCAGGGTAGCGGGGCGGGGGATTCCATGGGATCCAGTGCTTAAAAGCCAGGACCCCATGAGCACCAGCTCCCACCTCTCCCACCTTGCTGCATCTTATACAGAAGGCAGCAAGAGGGGAGGGAGTGCATGTAGTCGACAGAATTAACTAATAAGCCCAGGCTTAATGGTTAATCGTGTAGTCAACTACATATTGACATCCCTAATTCTGAGGGGCAGGAGGAAGAAGGGTTCATAAATAGACACTAACATTCTCCTTCCATTTTTGCTCTCTTCTATCCATGGTAGTGGAAGCAGGAATTTATCTCAAAGCTGCTTGTCAGGATTTCCCCTCTGATTGTATTTGGTTCCATATAGAAAGAGATAATGCTCTTTATCTAGCCTGGCATCAAAGCAGTACAATGACTCAAATAGTGGAGATGAATTCTCCCCAATGCTTTAGATTCCACTTTTAAAATTCTGTGACAGACACCCCAAACGATGTTTTATTTGACTAATCTTATATATTTTAGAAATGTCTGTCTGTGTCTGTTTGTTTGTTCAAGAACTCCTCCTAAATGTTAAGAGCTAGGATCACCAAATTTGATATGCAGCTTCCTCTGATTATTTAAATCAAGGTCAGGGTTTGATCGTGCCAGGATAATGGGATGCGTGTGGAATTTGATTGTTTCTTATAAAATGGAAAGGAAGGGGTCTGGTAGGAGGGACAGTTATACTGCAGAGTGACCACAGGGGGGCAGAAAAGGGCCAGAGAGGGGGACTGGGACAGATAACATCCCACTGGGCTAGCAGGGGGTAGAAGTGGAAAAAGCGACAGCTATCTTCTATATATTTCAGTGTGTGTCTGTTGTGTGTATATCTGTCCCTCAGTTGGGAGACATGCACTCCTCCCCCGGCTGTGGCCGCTGCAGCTAGAGGTGCTTCTTACCTGACCCCAACCTGCTGTGGTGAGAGAGAACTGGCATTCTGCTCCCTCTCCCCAGCGCAGCCTGCATCCTGAATCCTTCATTCCCAGCCACACCAGAACAATGATTTACATAAAGAAAAACAAAAATGTATTTGGGTTAAGGACCCAGCATTGCCAGGTAAATCTTCCATTAGAGTAATGAAATAGAGCATCATCCCATTCACACTAAGTAGTAATGCTACCAACATGGAGAACATTGCCCTCTACATCTTCCTAACATTATATACACACATCTGACAAGACTGTCCATGAGCCCCACACACACACACATTTGAGTCTGGAGTCACTCAGTGGAAACCAGTGGAGTTGCACTGTGCCCAGTCAGTACAAGAGGAGAATCCAGTTTGCAGTGGGCAGCATGGGAGAAAATAAAATGATTATTTGGAAGACCAGAAAGTCAGTCCTTACTTCTGTTGTCTATCTGATGGTTAAAGGACCTGCGCTGGCCTGACGTAAAGCTGAGTGATACCAAGAGCACCAGCATGTAGACTGTGATCAGCTTTAAGTGCTTGGGCTGAGATGAACAGTGAGGACGATGAGACCCCGCCACTGCATGCCACATGATGGATCAACTGTAAGGACACTGGTATAAAAGAAGGGAACATGGTATAAGGTGCACAATTAAAGAATATCATCAGTTTAAAAAAAATTAGATATGACAGTAGTTACCTGGGAATACAGCTATTCCTTTAACAACTATTTAAAAAATCTCAAAAATACAGTGACATTGATACCAGGGTCAAATCCACTGAGCAGGAAACCAGGATCGAGGATGTTCTGAATTCTGTAAGCAGTGCTGCCACATGACCATTAGCAGCTTCTTTGCCTGGACAATGGGTGTAACATTTACCTCCCTCAGAAGTGCTGAGAGTTGTCAGTCAATGACTATAAACAGCTTTGGAGATGTGGTATAGGATAGGGATGTGATTGTTTAACCAGTTAACCGGTAGGGGCTGGAACAACTCCCCGCCTGCCATGGTTAGGAGGCTGCTCCAACCCCACAAAGTGCCAACTGCAGATAGAAGCTGCTCAGTATGTTTAACTGGTTAACTAAGTAAATGGGATTTTACATCCCTAGTATATAAACACTTGCTGTATAAAGGTTTTTTTAAACAAATACAGGTTTTGTTTTCCATCATTCCTTTGCACAAAAATGCTCATATTGAATGTGAAATATCCAGGTATTTTTATTGTCCTAAATAGGACTAAATACCCATAAACGATTAGAATACACTCTAGATCTTTCTCTAGTGCTAAGTACATGCCTCCTTGAGTGCCTGAATGTGCAGTGCAAAATGTGTCCCTTTGTTTTTATCTTCTGATCTGATCTTGTTGCATTTATAAAAGACATTTCTTTCAATTCACTAACATTTGGTTTGTCAACTAATTCTTCTGTTCAGAGAGAGCTTTCCAGGTGACAACTTGTGGTTTGTTTAATGAAAGTTTCCACTGATTGCCTGACTAAGGACTGCATTCTACAGACATCAGGGGACAAAAGATGGGAAGTAACAAGAGAAAGAAAGTCTAGAAGTTAGAATCTAGAAGGTAAGGAATTCTAGGTTCTGTACCCACAAAGGATATTCATTCAGAGGGCTTGGGCAAGTCACTTAGGGTATGTCTACACTACAAGTTACTTCGAACTAACAGACATTAGTTCGAATTAACTTTAATAGGTGCTACACATACAAACCGCTAGTTCGAACTTACTTCGAACTAGCGGAGCGCTTAATTCGAAATAGGTAAACCTCATTCTACGACGACTAACGCCTAGTTCGAATTAAGTAGTTCGAATTAAGGGCTGTGTAGCCACTTAATTTGAACTAGTGGGAGGCTAGCCCTCCCCAGCTTGCCCTGGTGGCCACTCTGGGCACCACCAGGGAAACTTGTCTGCCCCCCTCCCGGACCCGGAGCCCTTAAAGGGGCACGGTCTGGCTACGGTGCCTGTGTCAGGTGCAAGCCTGCCAGCACCCAGCCAGCAGACCCTCCACCTGGCACGGCACAAACCAGCCACCCGCTGCCACCCAGCCCTCTGCCTCTTCCCGGGACCAGGCTGGCAGCTCTCAGGAACCTGCCCGGGGCCGCAAGAGGTGGGTGCCCACCTGGTCTAGTACAGAGATCGTGGACCTCATCCACGACCTCCGCACTAGGCACAGGAAAGTGGCCGTCTAGGGCAGGATAGCTGCCAGCCCGGCCACT